GTTTTGACTTTTTCCAAGTCTTTTGCCACGACTGCTGCTTGTGCATCTTCGATGGTCTCTAAAACTGACTTGTTTGTTTTATATTGGTCTTCGTTGCTCTTCTTTTTGAACGTAGGCTGGCTTTCGCGACGGATCTTCTTTATCTGTTGAAGCTGTTGAGTCGATGATTCTTCGTTTGATCTCTTCAGATCTATCACAGATGCAGCTATATGTCGCATTTGGTCGAGGATCTCGTTCTGGCTGGCCTGAACAATTTGTCGAACTCTGTCTTCATTCATTTCTTCCTGAGTAGTGCTGACTTCTAAACCGAACTTGGCTTGTGTTGCGTGGCTGACCTTAGACAACGTTCTCACACTTATAACCTACTTATATACTCTGTTCTCCCAAAGGACACACGCTGCACTTGCACGTGCATAAGGGCGCGTGCCGGCAAAATATTAATTTATCCCAAACTCGTTCCTCGTTTGTCACAAATTACATTTTCTCACATATAGTCCTGATAGTTCGGACGTATTCATGCACACCTAATATATCAGCTAACTTTACGTAAGTTAATATCAAGGTTCCTATCATTTGCATGTATTCTAACCAACCTTTTCATCTCTAAACATACCAAGGACACGGTCTTCAACTCCTCTCGCTTTCAAGAAATCAACGACCTACAAGTGGAGAAAAACAAATTAGATTGACCAAAGAGTTTGATAGCAACAACAAACTACATTTGTACTTACATTTTCAACAGAAGAACCCTCCATAGCAGATTAAAATCATCAATCATCAATCATCATCATGTATCGTTTAAATACTAATCGATATTGTATTGTGTGATTGCGTTACGTCGCGCGTTACGTAGTTTTACGTCACTAAATGTAATTAACTTAATTATCGTTRTTCATTGTGRAGACCTTGTATTATCGGAAGGACCATAAGATTTCGAACCATATAATTGTTGGTGATCAACTCTGTAATTCTGATAATTGGTCACGATGACAATAAAGTGTTTGGAACTGTGGTCATGTTTCAACATAACATTCGAAATCTTCTGAAACCAAGAACAAGAGTTGGTTAAAGGCGACAGGGTGGCGAGATGACGGAACCCAGCAGGAGTCCTGAAAGTTCGACGCACAGCGAAATCAAAGTTCACAAGAAAGAAAAACGATTTCTACAATGCGATTGCGAAGAAAGAAAGCATGAACGACATCGAAGGTAAATTCAAGGAGCTTACCGACGCATGGCGCGACACTGAAGGTAAGCACGATCTTTATGTCATGCTGCTAGACGACGACGATGTACAAGACAAAGAAGATGCRTGGATAAATGAATTGCAGGAAATATACGGCGAAGCATCGTCAATCTACAACAAATGCGCGAGCGAGAATCTTATCAAATTAAAGGAAGATGAATWACGCGCGAAATTCAATGAACTGACCAAGAAAAAAGCATCCAAAGAAGCGATGTTCATGTCCTCACTTGAGCAAATGTCAAAGCTGTTGAAAACTGACGCACAGGAAACAGCTAAACTAATGAAATGCGAGCGCGACTTGGCCGCGATATTTAGCGACTGCAAATCCGTTCATGACGAAATAATAGAACTGCCATTGGAAACAAAATACATCGAGATTGAAATCGAATGGCTTCGAAAACTGCACGCACAATGCAGCGACATTTCAAGTCAGATTGAGTCGAGCGCTGACGAAGCTAAAGCAAGCGCGCGCATAAAAGCGGAAACATTAAACCCATTACAAATGGAAAAGGCTAAAATGCCCTCATTCCGCGGAGAAATCAGG